CAGAGGAAGACAGGGAAGGAGAAGAGGCACTCACGGGTCTTGTGATGGACATGGATACATTTATTGGACTGGTCGATGTTTTGATAAGTCTTGAGAAAGACAAGCAGTGCCTTGTTGAAATGTCAACCGGACCAATTAATGTATCCATATTGCCTCGTCACAAGACTCCATTGAAATGGAGTTTTTCCAAGAACGCAGTCCATTCACCAAAATGCATTTTAAGGATTTTTGCTCACTTCCAAACGTCAAAGTATCACAGTGTTCTGCTCATTCAAGAGTTGCTTAGCATATCAACAAACACAAATTAATTTTAACCTCGTATTTTGTGGCCATGCTCTGTCTATTCCTCCTTAGGTCATAGCTTTTCCAGGGTCAGCCTTTATGTCCAACTGGTTCCTTCAGTCACCAGACTGGACTTCTTGCTCGTTCACATACTGCTACTTGCTTAGCTCAGACACACCAATCTTTTTGAATGCAAACTACTTCTGTTTCTTTATAATCTCCAACCATTGGAGATCAGCATGGCTCAGCAGCCTGCCAGTGTAGGCCTGCTAGGCCTGTACACACACTTTTTATGTGTCAGGCTTGAAATCGCTCTCGTAGCACATAGAAGCAAAGACTGACTAGAGAATACTCTCTTTTGTGGTTGAAACTCAGTCAGTTTTACACCTGTTCAGGACCCCTTTCCCTAAGCCATAGGAAGCTGGGAGCTGTCATGGGGAACATTTAATGCAAAAGAAAACATACTCTACTGCAGGGAGACAATCTCAGTGGCAGTGCGAATTAGATTTTTATCTTTTATTATACATGCAGCTTCAGCACCCCAATCTGATTAACATGTCGGGTGGCGTGTTTCTAGTATCTCTGGATACTCTAGTTGTTGCCCAAATCAGTGGTGAATGTGGTTGAGTCAGGCAAGTGCACAGGCATACTTGCATGGCAGCCTGCATGCAAAATAATTCAGTTTCTAAAAATACAATTCTCTCCATAACAGCCATTCAACCAGTCTTTTCAAAAGGTGGGCAGCAATGGAAGCCCCCATGTATCTTGCTCAACAGGTTTATTTTAAAGAAAATGTCAGAAAATGTAAAAAGCACCCTAGCCCCCTAAATATTTTAATCAGAGCCACATACCCCCTGCAGGCGCATTCTTACCTCCTCCAATGGAAGTGGCTTACTGTATTCTCTACAGCTCGGCTGGTAAATATGTGGTGCCAGGCTGAAGGAGACATTGCTCCTGCAGTACGAGTATGTTCCATTCAAGTCTTTGGGACATTAGTGTGCTTACAGACCAGGCTGTTTTTAAAAATAATTTGAACTTGTCCTTTAAGTTGTCATTATAACAAAGTATGCCACATTAATAAAATGTAATGATGCATCCTTTTGTTCCAGCTCCAGAAGATGTTGAGGCACCTATTGCAATGTCCTCTCCTAGCTCATTACTTGTGCATTGGTTGCCCCCTAAACACCCGAACGGAGAAATAAAAAAGTATGTATTATACATGGACGGAGCCCAGATTTACATAGGAGACAAGACCGAATATAATGTTACAGGTAAGTAGCTGTTGTGTATTACTGTATGTTAAATGGTTCCAAACGTATTGGATGATTTAAAGGGAAGAGCACCTGTCACAAAACCACATGAACGTACTTGGTGGATACTGGGATACAGGCGGGTTGAGGCAGAAAACACGTTATTTATCAGGAATGATGTATGTCATTTAAAGAAATATAGAATTATTGATTCACTTACTTTGTCAGAAGAGAACGTGTCTGTAGGTCACATATTCTTTCCTACTTCCTTTGTTTAGTTTTTTTTATAAATTTAGGTAAGAAGCCGAGCTACAGCTAGATATACAGTATATATATATATATATATATATATATATATATATGTGTGAATAAATTAGAGAATTTGGACATTCACTATTCGCAGGTTGTTAATCTATCCCTCTAATTCAAAACACATTCACCAGGAAGATTCACCTGCAGTCAATATTTGTTGAATGTTACAATCTCTGCTTCAAAAATTGGCAGCCATGTCTAGTTTGTAACATTTATGGGTCAATTCCCTAAGCTGCCGTAGGCAGCCAAGTTAAAGACCGACCTGAAGTGAAGTGAGGCTATTCACTTCAGGCCGGTACGGCTGATTTCAGCCGTATATCGGCTGAAATCAGCCGTACATCGGGTGGTTTCGCGTGGCTTCGGGTCAGCCGAACATGCTCAGCATGTTCGGCCGACCCGAAGTGCAAAAGGTGTTTGACTCAGCCTAACCAACATCTGGATCAGCTGAGCCGAACCTCCGGCAGGCTACTCGCTGCTGTTCGGTCTATTCTCACAGATGCCGAACAGCAGTTGCTGTGGGTCTCTCTGTGGGACCGAGCAGAACAGAAAAACAGTTAAAAAATGACAGCTAGCTCCACCCAACAGTTTTCTATTGGCCGGCAGTTCTGCTGATAACTCTCCCGGGTGCTCCAGGAGTCTCTGGCTCGCAGCCGCCAATGAGAGAAACACTGCTTTTTCTTTTTTTTTTTCAAACTAGCATTGTACCCGCCCTCTGCTGCTGTCAATCAGTAGTTGTGGACCTGATGGAGAACTGCAGCAGAGGGTGGGTGCAATGCTAGTTTGCTATTGACTATTGCAAATTGAAATAGCCAATAGGAATCTAGCAATGCATTCCTATGGCCAAAATGTATTTATTTTTTTCTATTCTGACATGGCTCCGTGTCAGAATAAGAAAAAAAAAAAAGAAAAAGCAGTGTATCTCTCCTCGGCGGCCGGGAGCGGGAGACTCCCGGAGCGCCAGGGAGAGTTTGCTGTCTGGAGATCAGTGTCCCTGGTTAGCTGGTAACCAGGGACTCTGATCTCTCTGCAAGTGGCCTTGAGCAAGTGGTAAGATCACGGCTGGCTCCGCCCAGCTGTCAGAAGCAGGCTGTCGGCTGGCCAATGACCAAGCTTCGTCTTTCAGCGCGGCTCAGCCGAGCCGAGGCATATGCGTTCGGCTCGACTGAGCCGCTCGGCCAAGTTCGGGAGCTGTACGGGCTATAGTGAATAGCCCGTACAGCAGCCCTTCGGTTCTACTGGGGCCGAAGCTAGCCGAAGGATTGGCCGAAGCTACGGCTAGATCCTTCGGCTTCTTCGTGAATAGACCCCTTAGTGCACTTATAAATACAGCTGATATAAGTGCCTGAATTTGTTTTCATAATATTATTATTGTTATTCAGGATTTGTATAGTGCCAACAGTTTGCATAGCAATTTACAAAATGGCGGGAGACAGAACAGTTACAATACAATTTTATTACAAAAGGGTTAGGAGGGCACCAAGATCATAAGAGCTTCAAATCTATTAGGAGGGGCATATTATCTTTAACTTCTTAGTGTGAGAGAAAGAAGACTGATGTCTTTTTATTGCTCAGGTATTGCTCAGGTATTGCTCAGGTAGCATGTTGGGTAACTGGCATGACTGTATTCTTTAAATAAGAACTCAAGGCAAATAAAATCTTAACCCTTGCGCTGGGGCTCATTTTGCCTAGGGAGCTGAAATAACAGAGATATACTCACCTAAACTGCAATCTCCGCTTAGCTCCTAGACCGGTCCCTTCTACCTGTCTCCTCCTCCGCTCCAGCAATAAAATGTCTCCTGGCAGCCTTATACACTGAAATAGGATGTGATGACTCACAGGACCTTAGACTGCCAGAGCAGAGAGGGAGAGAGGCTCCAGGGACAAGTCTTGGAGCCAGCTGGGATTGTAGTTTGGGTGTGTATATCTCTGTTGTTTTAGCTCCCTAGGCAAACCGAGCACTTAACTCTTGCAGTGCAAGGGTTGCCCCACTGCAAGGGTTAAGATTTTATTTGGCTGGAGTTCTTCTTTAACTGTAATGGGCAAAGAGGTGTCACCAGTGGTACGGGAGGGGTGTGCACACAAAAGTGGCTGGAAAATGTTGTATTTAAAACAGTTTGCATATATGTATATCATCTGTTACTTTCACAATAAAGTGGACCTGAACTTAAAAAGTGAAGAGCTGGTGCCTTGTAGAAAATATTTTGAAATGTTGGTTATGCCTAAGTAGTACTCTTGAAAATCTACCTTTTGTGTTAAATTCCCCCTGAAAATGAGCATTGTACTCTAGTGCTTAAAGTCTCATAGCTGTATACCTCCAGTGTATACCTCCAGCTTGAGAGTCACTGTTAGTCCCGCTAGATTTGGAGGGAGATTTGGTGGTCACCAATGTGCTGCTCACTTTTTTCCTTGCTGGAGAGGAAGCTGCTGCTGCGGAGCTGTAGTATAAGGATCTCCCTGCTCTGGCTTCATATATTCCATGGAACTGCTTGCTGCTGTTTCTGGAATATTCCCCCACTAGTCATCAGATCATCAGTAACCAGGGGGACATGAGGAAGCAAAGCCCTGTCTCTACCTTGATGGGGAAAAGATAAGGTGTAGGCAATACTGATGACTAGTCCTTGGTCCCGTGCTTGCCTTTTTGGGGCTTCCATCGTTCAGGTCCTCTTTAAGCCATAACAATGGAGGTGGTATTTGTATTGGTAAAATCATAAAAAAATCAATGAGAAAATGTAAATATAATGTAAACTTTCCTTACAGCAAATGCATAAGAATTGGTACCTTGCATGGTTATCTGGCTGACTCTTTGCATTATTTTGTTAGAAATTCATAACACTGATATAGCCTCTTGATGTTTGTACAGATTTGAGTTAAGCCTATTTTATTTATTTATATTTTTATTGCTGATCAATATTGAGGGCCCCTGTGATCTCATACATTTAAAGTGTCCTCTTTAATGCCATAAAAGAAATATGGGGGCTGCGAATGATCAATTCCTTCAGAAAACTATAGTTGATTGGATGTCTCATGCCTCAAAACTTCTAAATCACCAATCTACAACAAGAATGCAGCAAATAAAAGAAAAAAAAGTCTGAACTCCCTGGTTCTATTTGTATTTTTTTATTTTATTTTTTATTTTACCATGAGCTGGTAGAGTATGGAATATATTGAGGGGAATTTATCAAAACTGGAGCAGACAAAATCTGGAGCAGCTGTGCACTGCAACCAATTCAGCTTCTCTCGTTCATTTTCATATCTTAACTGAACAAACTGAAGATATAAACTGATTGGTTGCCCTGGGCAACTGGTCCAGATTTAGACTGCTCCAGTTTTGATAAATTCCCCTGTGTTTCCCTGAATGCATTTCCTTTTGAAGCTGTGTTTAAAACTCATGCAAAGCGAGTAAAACACAGCTTTTTGAATTCAAATGCATGTGTTTGAGCTGTTTTTCTGTTCAAATAACAAAGCGTGCATTTATTAGCAACGTTTACATGAGCGCATGTATATATGAGCCCTTATAATGACCGAAAACAACTTTTGAAATTACATTAACATGTTAAAATATATAAAACATTTTAGTGATTGGGTTAACATCTACTTTAAGTCAATAAGTGTGGTACATCGGGATGTAGTGTTCCTTCGCAAGTTTTATTGTTTGGCCACAATCTTGCACATCACAGCAATTTCCGTCCATTATTTTGTTACCTTTTTTTTTCCCCCTTAATGTAAAACATGCAAAAGAAAATGACATAAATCTTCGGTCCTCATCTCGCTCAGGTTTGAGCTAGTGCTGCGGTGGGTCAGTTGTGACACTGAAAAATGACTGCAGTTATAAAACCTCCTGAAGGCCATTGAATTTTTACTATAATAAATAGCATACATTTTAAGTCAAACTTTTTCATTCTTTATTCAAAGGTAATGGGTTTTTGTATCCAAAGAAACCTTGTTGTACTTTTTCTTAGATGAATACATAAGGGATGAGAACACTTATGCGTGAATATAAATGACCATATTATGGATTATTAGTATCACAGAGAAAAAAACGTCTGATCCATGTTAGAATAAGAACATTTAAGCAAATAATGTTGGCAAAGATGAAAGCAAGTGTTTTTACTTAGGCTGGAGTATTGAGTGCCCACACAAAACTATATGGGTTACAGTTCAAAATCCCATTGCTGTGACTTGAAATGCTATCCTAAAAGTTACTATGATCAGACTTATTTGAAACTATATGAAATAAAGTAGAAGAAATGTTAGGCGTTGTAGTTTTTTGTAGTATGCGTTTTGTTTAAAGATACACTCATAAGATAAGTATACACTGAAAATCACAGCAGAAAGCCAATCAAAAATAAAATAAAAATAATAGCCATTTGCAGATAAAATAGGAAATGATTATATGATACATACTATTATATTAGCCTTAACTCCAATCCGGAGCTGTCCCCCACAGTAAATTTTTTCCACCATTAGTCTCACGGGTCTATTTACTAAGCTGCCATAGGCAGCCGAGTGAATGCCCGACCTGAAGCGAAGTGAGCCGAACGCTGTTCGGCTATTCACTTCAGGCTGGTATGGCTGATTCCAGCCGTATATCGGCTGAAATCAGACTGAAGGGGTCCTGGGGCCGAAGCTAGCCGAAGGATCAGCCAAAGCTACAGCTAGATCCTTCGGCAGCTTCGTGAATAGACCCCTCAGTCTTCCAGGTTGAATGA